CCCCAAAACCCCAAAACCCCAAAACCCCAAAACCCCTTAATTTAGAATATGAATGATTTATTATTATTAAAAATATGAAGAAGAGATTAAGTTGCCTTTGAGTTGATCTTATCGAAGATAAGATCAAAAACAGAGGGATTTTCATTATTGCTTCACTGCTGTTTTATATATACCTTACATGGACTTTTATCCTCAGTCGGCCACCAAGAGACAACACTCCAGTGGTTATTCGGAGTTCTTTAGATTTTCCCAATGTTGCCTTTGTTGGGAGAAATATTGCTGAAGTGCTTTCTCCAAGGGTCAAGGTTCTAGGTAAAAATCTTGGAATAATTCTTTAGATAGCTCAGGCAGGCCAGTGACTGGTGCCAGTGTAGAGCTTAATGTTGTACAAGTCACTATGGATACTACAGATCCTAACGCTCCTATTTGAGACACAGATTATAGGAGAAACATTAAGGGGTCCTTAGAATATATCCGGTTTCATGAGGTTTGTAAAATAGTATTATCCGGAAATATTGATAAAACTGATGAAAGTGGCCATGCTTTATTTGATAACCTCAGAATTGAAAGAGGCCCAGAAGGATTCTATACCTTCGAGTATACTATTAACCTTGGCGAAGGCAAGGTCGTTAATTCAGAAAGATTCAACTCTTTTATTAGAAGTGACATATTTTCTATGGAGAGTATGAATACAATACCTTCGACAGATGCACAGTTGAATATTCCGTTCTCTGAGCAACCAATTGTACGCTTGTTGGACAGTGATGGTAAACCTTTAAAGGGTAGAAGAGTAGTTGCATTTAGCTGGATAGATCCTACCTTCTTAGAATCTGTAGTTTATCAGACTAATTCCCCTTCTCATCTGAAATTTTTAACCTTGGAGAATGTTATATCTGAGCCTTCTGATGAAAATGGAATTGCTAGGTTTACGTCTTTAACTGTGTCAGGATCAAATGAAATTCTTTCATATATCCATTTCTATTCTGAAGGAGTGACCACTCCTTGGACTGATAGACCGATTGGGAATGGGTTTGAAGATCTGTTCTCTCCAAGAGCAATTTTCCCCTTCATTCCAATGCTAGATGATGTGTTTATTGAAATTGAGAATGATCATTCACGAGAAGAAATAGAAGGGAGTATTTTAAGTGCACCCTACAGCCTCATTGTCAGAGATCCAGAAACATTAGAGCCAGTTCCAAACAGACTTTGCTTTGCGAATATGTATAAATCGAGAGGTGATGTGATCCCAGCCGGTTATCAAAGTTGGTATGATAGAAGACCTGTTAAGCATATTGAAAGGCCAATACCTGGAGAATATACCATCGGAGCAGATAATCCAGAATATGCTGGAGAAGTTCTGTCAAATATTTATCTTACAGATAGGGAGGGAAAAGTTTCCTTTGATGACTTAAGAATTTCAACAAGAGGACCTATCGGAAATTTCTCTCTTGGATTTAGTTGTGGAGGAGCGTTTAGAGCATTCTCTGAACATGAAATTGTTGTCAGATCAACAATCGATGAAGAAAATGTCAGATTTGCTCAGCAAGTACCTGACCAAGTATTTGTTGATGACTTAAGTGAAAAAGAATTTGATTTAATCTTAATCATTGAAGTTCTTGACTCTGATCGAGCAGGAGTCCTTGGGAAATACCCCGAGAAAATCATAATCAATACAGAAGACCCATCTTATCAAGGATATATTGATGCTGTAATCGTTCATGAACATGATCTATTTGAGGCATCTGAGGAAGATGGAGTTATCACTGTTCCAATACGCATTACTAAGATTAGTGACATTATCAGAGCAAATATAACTTTGATTATTGATGACATAAACATAACTACCAAATATATTGAATTTACGAGGCTAGAATCGATTAACAAAAATTACATATCATCTTTGGAGATTGTGGACGCTCCCATAGAGCAATTTGAGAATGGAATTGAGATTGATGAAACCTTTGATATTTATGCTCATGCTTATGATATTGATGGAAATACAGTAGACTATAATGATCTAGAATTTAAATTAGAGCTTTTTTTTAATCCTATAACCCAAGCTCCTGCAAGAAAGACAGTCGTTGTTCTTGAGAGTAATGCATACTCTATCAGTCGAGGGAAAGTGAGATTTAGAGGAAATAAAATTACAAGAGCTACTACTGGCCATTACTTCCTCAGAGTTCATGCTTATAAAGCAGGGGATTCTTCTAAAATAATACTTAGCACTGATACAATCAGATTCTTCATGTCAATATCATTTGATGCAGCTATAATTGCAGGTGTGGCTGAAAAGAATGTCAATGCTCTGTTTTACAGCCCGAAAAGTTTGAATTTTGTCCCTCCTGATAAATTAGAGGAGCAGGTTCATGAAATAAGAATGGATCAAACTTATGTCTTCAAGATCTTAGCTGCAGACTTTACTTCAGGACCACTCAAGAATTATTATGTCAATCATCCCAAGCTTAAATTCGAAGAGTATCCCCCAATAATGCATGGATTAGATAATGGACCTTTTAACTATGTCACTATTCACTACCTTTCACGATATACTGACGAAGAGGGCTTCTTTTACATCGAGGCAACTGTAGAATACGGAGGAATAGGATTTTATGTGGTTTCTTTTGATTTTGGAACAGGAATTTCAACCCCAATAAGCTTCAAAACTAACAATCCTATTACCGGAATCAAGATCCAAGCTGAGCCTGTTATTTCTAATGTCCCGCCTGATGACCGAGATATTGATGGATATTATACAGGAAGAAAATTTAACATATATGCTCGTGTTTTGATTGATGTTTCTATTGGGCCCAAGTCAGGATATTTGGTTATAGCACATCCTCAGAGTGTTGATGGAAACCATGCGACTGCTGAGATTCTTCCTCACACAATCCATGAACTTGATCACCAAAAAGATAATTTTATAGCATGGCTTTCACTATTAAAAGAGCAAAGAATTGCTGTTACAGATCGATATGGAGAAGCTAAGTTTAATCATCTTTCTATATTTGATGTTTCAGGAGAACACGCTACAGTCAAATTTGTTTTTGGAGCGGGGGATAGAAGGGAAGGAATGTATACGGTCACTGAGCCAACCAATAGAAACTATACATTTATCCAATCAAATTCTTTTGAAGTTGCTCGACAGCCTGGAAGGCATACAGCTGCTTATGTTCCTATTGACCCTTCTCCAAAGATAAGGATGACTTCTCAGATTCTTAATTCTTTAAATATAGTATCTGCTCAGCTGAATAACCTATTTAGTAAGGATATTAATGATACTTTTGAATTGCTGGTTACTGATAGATATATGAGTGGTACAATCTGTTATGGAGTATTCTCACCAAATTCTATCACATATGTATCTGATACATGCAAAATGGAACCTTTGAAATCATTTAGCAAAGGCCCTCCTTATGAGGTAGAGATTACATTTGATCAACTAAGATGGGACACTTATGGAGTTAACAGTATGATTTCACTCTCTTTCTCAAGTTTGATGGGACATCAATCTGATTTTGCAGCTATCTCACAAAGAATGTATGTCGAGAATCTTGCCAGTAATATCATCCTTCTTCATGATCCGCCTGCTGAAATTTCGATACTACAAGTATTTGTCTTAGAAGTACTCGTTACAGTAGACGGTGGATTTCCACTTGCAAACGCCAGAGTTACTTGTAATGTCACAAAAGATCTAGATCTTTCTCAAATCTCCACTGAAATTTTCACTTCCTTTGCAAACACTGAATACAATGTACAAAGATCTAGCCTGCTTGCTCCTGGAAGTAGACTTGACGAGAAGAGGTCTTCAGCTATCACAAACAATCAAGGAATTGCTAGACTATTCCTGCGAGTGCAAGAGAGCCCTATAGATTCTAGTGTAAGGCTTGTTTGCCAATCAGGGAGAGCGGTTACTTCACCCTCCTCTAAAATCAACATTAAGCATCCTATTAGCAGAATCACTCAAAGTGAAGAATTTAGGGAGACTGTCAGGCTGCAGTTTAATAGAGATCCTGATGGGTTTACCTCAACACATGTCAAACTTTCATCTACATTCACTCTAAACTTACACCAAGATGAGAACACTGAAGAGAATATCATCAGAGCTCAAGATATCGTGATCTTGGTAGTGAAATTTTCTGAAATAGAGCAACTAAGAGCAACAAAATCAGAAATAAAAGATGTAATGGGCCATTTCAATAACTTCACCCAAGAAAGTTCAGTTGCTCAGGAGTTTATTGATCTGGGTCTGACCTTAATGAGAGGAGTAGAAACAGTGGGAGCTTTGAAAAATCAAGTTTCTGAAAGAAATAGAGCTATTTTTAACAGACCAAATATTCAAGGATCACAAGTCACCATCTCTAATGTTACTCTGATTCTTAACGAGCCTGGTAGATATGGACTCATTTTTGGAGCAAATGGTGTCTTTACAGATATCCAAACAGAGGAAGCTCAGATTGAGACGATTCATGAAGTCCATGTAGTTCGAAGATACTTTAATCTTTATCAAACAGCATTTTTGACTGTGTTTTATTTTCTAGTTCTAGCACTATCTTCTAAACTATTCAAAGGATATTGGCTTTTCCTGGCTCTTGTGATTGTTGGAGGCTATCTCTACCTCATGTCTACTAGAGAAGACGTTGAAATGGTATATATGATAGTAGTCTATGTCCTAGCCGGCCTCATTGCACTCTACATGCTATGGGCATTTCTGATTTATTTCATTGATACTTTTATCAGAAGAAAGAACCCTGGATACTTCTTTGATAAGAAGAAGCAATATTTCATGGAATATGTTTATCAGAGGCTAAATAATCATCCTTCTAATCATTGGGTGAACAGGAGGAAAAATTTGAAGCTTAATCTAGATGGGCTATATAATACCAAAATGAAGAATGAGGATGAAATTGAGAGTTTAAAATCCTCTATAAAGACCTTACCTAATTCAACAAACGACAACATGGTTAGAATATCAAACCAAGATCTGACAGGCTCTTTCGAGATCAAAAGGGATCTCTCTGGAAGCAGTATTGTTGCTGAAAAAGTAAACGAATATCAGTCTATCATGGTTATTCAGGACAAACTCACTAAACAAGAGTTAATGGATTTAGAAGTAGATGTAATTCCCTTTGAAGATCTTGGTCTCTGCGGAAAATTCATAAGGATATTTACACCTTTTGAGCTGATGTATAGAAGGATATGGGTCAATGATTGCTTTGTTTACCCCCAGGTGTTACTCACATGTGTGCTAATTTGTGCCGTCTCAATGGGATATCTAGGTTATGTAATGTTTACAGTAATTTTTGGTATAACAGAGTCTATAAAAGGGGTATATTCTAATGTGTATGATTCAGTATTTGGATTCCTGAGGAATGGAGTTGAGAGATACTTTGACACATTGAAAGTTCAGGCAACTACCACAGGTTTATATGACTACTTTGATCATTTGGAGACAACAGAACATACTCTAAATAATCTCATATTTGCTATTAAGTTAGGAGTAATAGTTGGCACAACAGTAGCAATAATAACTGTTTTTGCAAACTTATTTCTGATTCTTTTTGATTATAAGAAGAGAGTTCTTGATGCAAGAAAAGGAAATTTTAAATTTAGGAAAGATAAAATCCCTATTAGCATGCATTCAGGGTTAGCTGGAGCAATTATTAGTAACAGTATATTCATGTTTTTCGTTATTATCATTACTTTGACAATTGTTTTCTCATTCCTGGCTTGGCCTCTTTTCTGGATAATTCTTTGGAGACTAAAATGGAATATTCTCAGTATTGCAATAGGAAGTATTGTTACCTTATTAATAAAGTTGATTTTTAACAGAATCTGCTACAACTTCGATCATGTGAAGAGAAGAGGATTGTTAAGCTTATTTGATTTCTTCTTGCTACAAGTTGCTATATTAGCTGGAGTAGTTCTTGCGATAAGCAGGCTCGGAATCCTTTTCATTGCTTTATTCATCTCTGTTATGCGGATAGATGTAATGGCTATCCCAGAATGGTTTGCTAACATATTATACATTGACTCCTTCAACAAATCGTACTACGCTTCAGTACTTGTTCAACATTACCAGAACAATCCGATTATGATTACATTTTACGAACTGATGTTCTTGGTAACCAGGCCTGTTGAATCCAATGATTCATTAGACTGGGAGGACCGCAAGAGAATGAACCGCAGAAAGATTATCAGAAATAGGTTCCACCTGTGGGTTTTCATGTCTAAAAATCCTTCCCTCAAGAAATACAGGGTTGCTAAATTTGAGAATGATGATGACAGCGATGAAGAATTCGGCAAAAATGGCTATGAAGCTCCTGATCTTGAACAACAAAATTACCTACAAAAGCTAGAATACCAAGAGAAAATCAGCGGAGACGACTCTTTACAGAAGCAGACCATAGAAGAAACTAAAGATGACCCAAGAGTCATCGAGGTTAACGATGAGGATTTGACTCATGAAGAAGTTGCAGAAGTTCGAACAGGCACTCCCAAGTTTAATGGTAAAATAAACAGTTCTAATATCGACTCTATGATCAGCGAAAAGTTGGAAGAAGAGAAAGAATAAGTATTTAATTCAATCATTGGCACTTGAACTCAGATGAAATCTCAAATTATTTCCAATTCAATTTGATGGTTCTGCTCCGGGGTTTTGGGGTTTTGGGGTTTTGGGG